AGGGGCCCCTGGCAGAAGAAAGGCTCCCGACTGCTTCACTGCAGTGGGAGCGACCTGGAAACAGGGAGCCCGACAAGGTCCCCCCTTCCCTGTTCAAAGGGCAGTGGAGGGGCAGGCAGATGCCTTCCACCATCCCGATGTCCCCAGCAAAGCCGCTGTGCCAGCATCCCGAAACGCTTTGTGCCCCCGACCCCCTTCCCACCCGAGTCCGGGCACCTGCAACCGGACACCGGCGGAGCTTAGCAGATGCTGAGCCCGGCTTCTCCCTCTGCCCCGTCCCACCTTGTCAACCCGATCCCACCAACACCTGCCCGCGCGCGGAACAGACGCTCCCCTTTGTGCTGCTTTTGAAAGGCTCCCGAGCTCACCCCGCGCTGCACGGGCAGCACTCGCAGCCAGGAGCCGACCGCAGCCACAGGACTGACCGAGGGGGCTGCGTTTAGAGATGCTCGCTCATCTCTAGGCACCCCTCAAACCAGGGTCAGCATCATCATGAACAGCCTAATTTCCTCTCCCTCGAAGAAGAACGAGCAGCAGAAAGAGGAAGGGTTTCCATCAGATCCAGCAGCAAAACCGCTTTGCTGTTCCCCCGGGAACACTCACCACCTCCGTGCCAGTGATGCTGGCCAGCAGCTCGGTGATCGCCTCGCCGGTGAAATCGTTCACGGAGACCGTCAGGCCGTGGATCGCCGCTCCGATACTGCCCGTCGCAATCATGGAGGGGGGGTACATGGCAAAAGTGTAGTCTAGAGCCAGGACAGGAGCGCAAGGGGCAAAAAGAAGAAGCCGTTAGCAAGGATGTGCACGGTTAAGTTCTTGGGACTGGGATTTCCCTGGAAGACTAGAGAGGGCCAGGCAGAGGGGTCTGTCCAGCTTAGTGGGGAGAAATGGGAGTGAAACGACGGGGAACAGGCTGAGCATCGCAGCAGCAAGCTTCACTAAGCTATTTCTCTGGGCCTGTCTCACCAAAAGAAGTTCTGAAGATGAGGTTGCTCTACTGACTTAGAGCGAGCCTGCTAAAAGCGCAGATTCAACCCTGCCTTACCCTGGCCGCCCTCCTGCAGTCGCAGCCTGCACAGCAAGAGGGGTGGCATGGTGGCTTTACTCTTTCCTGGCATCTTCCAGGCACCCACAAAGAGCCCCCGGGACCGTTATCCCACTTTGTCAGGGATGGAAAACATCTCATGGAGCAGCAAAACATTCCCATTTGAATGAAGGCAGGCATTCGGTCCCCCAGAAAGCCCGGGCGCTGGAGACCAGCCCCAGGTTACCCAGCAAGCGTGACTCGAGCCCAGGTTATCCCGCTTGCAGTGGCCAGCCCACCCTCCCCGGCATCCTGGCGGGTGGCTCCAGCAGGAGCAGGCACCCACCTGTGGCACACAGGGCAATAAAGGTCTGCGCATGTTTCTTCACCAGCTCCATCTTGTCCTTAGGCAGCGGGAGGTGATGGAGGATGTGAGCCAAGAAATCATTCGCTATCACCGAGACCAGGTCCCACTTTAGCTTCTCCAGGACTAGAACCTCCCAATCCTGCAGAGTCAGACAGACAGACAGACAGCACGTTATTCAGCGGGGCTAGGCCAGGCAGAAACATTCACGAGATTCAAGGGCAGATAAGGCCAGTGCCTGAGGAAGGGCCAGTAAAACAGTACGATCCATGAGACAGGGAAGAAAAGAGGGAACGTCCCTGCTCTGCGACTATGGCGCAGATCCAGCCTTGAGCTGTTACAAAGCCCGGAGTAAAGATCAGAAGAGGAAGCGATAAATCTGGTTTCTTCTTTCCAAGGTGCAGTCGGATTAGCCTTCGACACTCCTCTGCTTTGCAAGGTTGCTGCAGCAGCCCACATAGGAGAACCAGAGCAAGGAGCAGCAGGCACACCATTCCCATATTCCTTCTCCATTCCCGAAAGGAGAGGCTGATGTCCAGGCTCCCAGGAGCAATCCAGCTTGGGGCTAACACCGTTGCAGCAAAGGGAACACAGAAGCTCACCTCTGTGCGCCCGGGGAGCCGGCCAGCGCGCCGACTCCCTCTTGCAGCGGCTCCTTGGCCCGAGCCGCAGGAGGCAATTGCTGCTGTGCAGCCAGCCCCTTCGCACAACACGAGAGGCGAGGGAAGGTGGGGGGAACACAGCTGAGCTTTCAGGGCTGCATCCAGACAGCCCAAGCTCCTGTACGAGATCGTCAATCCCTACAGAGCTCAGGGGCCGTGACTCGGTGCTGAGGTCTTCAGCCCAACAAACGCTGGGCACGCTGCCCTAAGGAGGAGGCCCAGGCTGGGCAGTAGCACGTTGGCAGAACCTCCCCTACTCATCATGCCTCTTCTCTGCCAAGAGAGCCTCCAGCCATGCTCAACAGAGCATCCCCAGCAGCTTTTTGGGGGAAGAGGCACTGAACAGCTGTGCTAACGCCCACCTCTCCCACTGACCTACAAGCAACAGCTCACCGGTGCTTCCCAGGTACATGCCAGCTGGCTGCCGATGTCTGCGTCCCGTGTTGCGGTGCTCTCTAAGCATCTAACAGAGATTTCTGCAATATCTTCCACGAGCCAGTCTGAGTAATCCGCAAGCTGGGGAACAGATGGCAGGAAGGCCGGGTGCCCCCCGCGGATTTCAGCTGGAGCCTGGGCTGCTCCTCTCATCTGCTCAGCCTCTCGCAGGCTCTTCCAGCTCTGGGCGTCAGTCCTTACGCCGACAAGAAAACCAAAGTGCAGAGCAGCTACGGGCAAGCATTTAGCAGTGTCATCACCCAGCAAGTCCTGCAGAGGTTTGGTACCAAAGCACTCATCTAGCAAGGTCTAAGCAAGGAGAGCCCCACGATTAGAGCCTTAGCACAGAATTTGGGACCCCTGCATTCAGTTCCCCGCTCTGCCATCAATGTCAAGGTCTACGTGGCTTAGCTAGAGTAGCAGCTGAATCAAACTCAGAGGCCACACACGTACTGGTCTCACTGGGCTGGGCGGCTTTGATGTTATGTCTGGGTACGACGATGCCTCCGACAGAGCAGTCTCAGGAGAGGCGAGAGCGGAGTCTTCCTAGGATCGTTTCCCTTCCCATCCCAGCCGGAATGTGGCGGGCAGCCCACACCCGGCTGCCTGAACTTCTCTGCCGGTCCCAATTCCCCCACATCCCGAGCGATGATGATCTCTGGCCTCCAACTTCTCTCATCCTCTGGATCAGCAGCAAATCTGGTTTTGACAACAGGGTCCAGGTATGCCAGAAAGGCCACAGAAGATGCCCCCATGTCCCTCCTCCCTGCTAGTGGAGGGGGGTGACAGTGGCCCTGAAGATGTGCTGGGAAAGGAAAACACCCTGCACGGGCTGAAGCTGCAGGTTTGGAAGGACAGAGGTGAATTGGGATTTGTATCAGGTATCTCCATTTCAGGGCCCAGTCCTACCCAGCAGAATATCTATTCTTTTTTCAAGTAGTCTAGGATTACAAGGTCAATGCTGCCCACAGACGTGCCAAAGGGCTGCCAGAACAGATGGATTTGAAGAAGTGAGATTTTTCGTAAGGGTAGATCTTCATTTTCTCTTTTTTTTTTTTTTTTAAACCCCCTCTTTCCCCTTACACAACAATACCAGTTTTGAATTGCTGAAATGAGCAGCATTGCTCAACCTGCTCCAAATCCCCCATGAGGCCAAACGCGCCGTTTGCCATTTCACAGCCTGCACTTTTCCAACCAGAAAGCGGTGCTTTGCTAGCGCACGCTCACCAGTCTCCCATATGGATGGCCAGCCTGCTAGTCTTTCTACATTTTTAAGCCAAATGCACAGCATAAAAGCAAGAAGAAACTTAGCAACGAGCTCCAGAGCCTGAGCATCGCAGCACAGGTCACTATGAGGGTGCCTGATTCAACAGGGGGGGATTGGAACAGAGCGGGGAGATCAGGGTAAAAGAAATAAAAACAGGTAGTGTTGGCCACTGGTTAAACTGAAGAAGCACAGCAAGGTGGCAGAAGGAAAGGGCTGCTGGAGATGGAGAGCCCTGTGCCTTGTCCCTACCCGTTTCTCAGCTGGAACCCACTGAGGGCAGCAGGCTGGGAAAGCCGGCTGCTTGCTCGTGCACGAGCCCACTTTCTTGGGAAGGGGCACAGGACACTGCTGACACCTTCGGCAGTCACTGCCCCGAGGGCGAGAGGCTGAGGCAGCTCCAGCTGGACTTCTCCTCGCGAGCTGGGCGCGTGGCCCTTTTGCGGACCCAGGGAGAAGGTCAAAAGGAGGACCTGGAGATGGCTGCTCGCAAAGCAAACGCGAAAGGGATCACTACACCTGAGAGGGGAGCTCCTGAGTGCAGAGGGGACACCAGCCCAGCATCATCTGGGCTCTTGCTCCTTGTCTGTCTTCCCAGAGCTACAAGCCAGCTACTGGGAGTCACCAGAGGCACACGATGTGCACACTGGCATGGCAGAGAGCCTGTCCCTCCTGGGACACATCTTGTCCCAAGAAGATCCAGGGTGCAAGTCAGCTCAGCTGTGAGACCTCACCTGGGACAAGCTGGCTCCTGCCACACCAGGACTGATCCGGGACAACAGCCTGTCCATTTGCAGTGCACAAAAGCAGCTCTTCTCCAGCTACTACAGAGGTTTGTCATCGTCTTAAAAACCTCCTTGTTACAAAAGGCCTGATCCCGAGACCCAGCCGGCACTCAAGATGCCAGCTGAAGGCGCCAGGCGCCAGGGACTGTCACCAGCTCACAAGATTTAGCTCAGGGAAGCCTCTCTCCTGCCAAACCACCCTGGTTCCTTGCTTCTCTCCTGCTAACCCTGGGGACTTCCCGCTCTCAGAGCGGCATGTCAGAATCTCTGAATCACTTTATCTGTGGAAGAAGCAGAACAAAAGGCTGCAAGAGATAGGCAAGCAGGTTTGTGACAAAAGCACCACTTTGTATAGCAAACATCCTTTTCCTGGCATTTTGTTTTGCACCTAATTGCATTCATCTCTGCCTGGCTAATGAAAGAGAGGAACTAAGTGGAAAATGTTCCTTTGTTTCTCCAGCCTGCGGAGCCCACCCTCCCCATGGAAGGGCTGCAAGCTGCCAGCACTGCCCACTGAGCATCCCACTGCTGGGAATGCATCAGGTCCCCTTCTGCAAGATCCCCCAGGCCAGAGCTCCCCATGCCTGCCCAGCGTCTCTAGGGGTGGAAAGTGCACAGCAGCTGAGCTTCCCCTCTGCAAGCTTGCTCCCTTGATCTCTCCTGGCTGCATCCCACAAGAAAGAAAAAAAAAAAAAAAGAAGGAAGGAAAGCAGCTACCGTCTCCCATTGCCTCCCCCACTCTGACAAGGTGATCTCAGAGCACAGTCCTGTCGCAGTGAAACAGCCTCAAGCCCCTGGCTGCTGCCTCTGCACCCTCTCACTAAGACAGACCCGAGTCACAAGCAGAGCCTGCATTTGCAGAGCTGTAAATTGAGTAAAACAGACTGGGATGTGACAGTCACAGCAGCTTCTCTCCTTTTCGTGCAGTGACAGTCACTCTGTACATCAAGCTCTACCCTCAGCAACACCCACACACCCGCTGTGCCTACAAGGAGTCTGTAAAACATATCTGGCGAGGCTGCACAGGGAGCAGAGAGCCCAGCTCCTCTCTGCAGCAGCCCTGTCTGCAGGAGAGAAGGAAGTTGCGCTCGATTTTGTCACTCAAGTTGATAAGGTACCATTTTACGTTATCACAGACTTGATGAGACACCAGCAAAGCCAGAGCAGGCTGCGCTCCGTTGTGCTTGCAAGCTGACTCAAAAAGAGGGTGGAAAGAGCTGCTGATGTTGCTGCTGGCCACCCACCCTACCCAGCAGCTGAGACACAGCTACAGAAATGAGCAGCCATGAAAGTCCATTTGCAAATAGGAAATCTGGGGCAAACGTTTGTTTCCATCCCCCGACCAGAGAGCAAGGCTGGATGTCAAGGGCAAAGGTGCCAACTTCAGATGCAGAAAGAGTCACATCTATCCGACCCATGCAACAAGCAGAAGGTAAAACAGTAAGACACAAGCATGTCTTCTGGGAAGTCAATGCTCTATCAGAAGCGAGCATCCCTTTCTACTCAGCTGTTATCTCTCTTCTTTTCACTTCTCATGGCCTGCTGCCACTGCTGCTCCCTTCCTTATCTACCTAGTGGCTTGATCCTGCTTATGGTCTTTGCTAGGAAATACCTGGCAGTTTGCAAAACTGACCTTAGGTCAAAGATTTCAGAGGCAAGCCAATGTATTAGGGGCAAACCAGGCAGATGAAGGTGATCTATAACTGCTCTCCCCAACCTTCAAGCAGCTGAACACCCTCTTGCACAGGCCAGAAAAACCTTTATTAAAAAAATAAAAAAAAAAGAAAGAAAGGTAGGTTAGGTAACGCCCTTGACGGAAATCCAACTTCCTCCAAATGGACAAGTCCCTCGTTGCATCATTTCCTTCTCCCTAGAATAACTTCATCAAGATTTTGTTTCAGATGTGTCCTTTCTAAACCGCTGAGCTACTGCCAAGCATCCCGGCAAGAGAAGGCAGCAAACCTACTGGGAAAGTGAGCCAGCTTCCTCCGGCAGGCCGGGGAAGACACGCTGGAGGCCGAAATGGCACCGATCCACGAGAAGAGGCCAGGATGCACCATTGTCCAAACCTTGATGGAGAAGCTCCCCTTCCCCTCCCCACCCTCTTCCACTGCAAGATTGTGAAAGAGAAGTAACATTACCACGATTAGCACAGAGGAGGAGAACAGCAGCTCGCCCTGGTTTTGTAATCAGGGTATTAACTCTTGTCAGGTCCCAAAGCAAAGACAAATCCTTCACGTAGCTGCAGACATTACCTCCACTCCCTCTTTACGGTGGAGAGCAACGGGAGACTGGAGCAGCATCTGCTCCCAACAGGGTTAAACATCTACTGAAAGCAAGCCTCGTGGCGGGCGGGGAAAGATGACCACCAGATCACGGGCTACAGAGCATCTCCTGCCCAGACGTCTGCGAATGCCTCCGCACCTCTCCTGAAGGGCTGTGGCTGGTTTGCGATGCCTTCTGCTCAGCCCTTTGGCTAGCACCGACTACCAGGAATAAACCCCCACACTGCGGAGTGCTCACGGCCATCCCTTTGGGAAAGAGAAAAAGGATCCTATTTGCCTGAAAAAGTTATCTTTGGCTATCCCAGGAAGGGACTTTTGACCCCCAAAATGAAGCCATTCTTGTCCACCTCAACTGCGTATTGATTCCGGAGCACAATGATGAAAGAGATCCGTGCTAACCATCCGGCTGCGCCTCCTGTTGCACAGGGAGCAACCCAGGATCCTGGTGGGAAAAAAGTACAGGGAAGGAGAATTCCAGTACTGAGACCTGCACAATCAGAAGCGAGCAACAGGCGGCAGACAGCACTTTCCTCCATCTCCACCCCAATGCTGCCAGGAGGAGGGAGGAGGGAAGACGAACATTGTGGCACTGCTTAGCCACAGCTTCCCGCTGACAAAC